AGGCATATTTTCTGTAATAGGTTTCTTACCCAAGCACAATAGTGTCTCCATGGAGTGTGTGCGAGCGCGCGTGCACGTGTGTGTGTGTGTGTGTGTGTGTGTGTAATAACAGATTAGAAGAAAGGTAGATAGAGAGAGAGAGAGAGACCACAACATACATAAGTAGGTACTTACGAAAACAGGGCCCTCACAGCCTCGTTATGGAAGTCTGCCAGATGGTCGACGTCTAGCAGGGTGCCCTCCACACGGTCGCCCTCCCCCACCGTCTGTCCCCGCCCGTCCACCTCACCTGCAGGAGGACCCAACCAGCCAAGAAGAACATAGAAGCTAATGTTATCTAGAGTTCAAGAAAGAAATAATGAATGGTTGTTAGTTACACATGAATTAGTTAAAGCGAGACTCCCATTATGGTATGTAGCGAAATCAATATTGTAAGTGAATGAATTAGAGCTGTTATGAGATACATATATTAACTCTGTTGATGTTGAGTTCAAACATCAGTGGTAATTCATTAGTTTATCCACGTGTTATCAGAACCATCAGAAGAAGCCTTGAAAAGGTTACAATAATTCTGGGTCGGCATCTTAAGTAGGGGCCAAAATATCAGCATTCAACGCTGTAACTGTAAATGATGTCCTGAATAACAGACTAACCGACCCTTCGTATGCCACAACTCTGACCCAGTGCCCTGCTATAGCGTGTGATCAGATATGACTCAACACGTGTGGAGAAATATTATCGTAATGCTATTTTATGGTAAGTTTAATCGTGGTTTGGGTCGTGAGTGTGGTATTCGTGGTGTGTTAGTAGCCATTGTTTACGTGTAATGTTCTGTGAGAAGGCATAGTTTTCGTGTTTGTTTTAAGGGGAGGCATTCTGTGCTGTCTACCTGAGTTTTGTTTATCTTTTTTTTCCGTCTCTTTTTCCTGTATTTCTTTTTAATTCTAACCATTCCATCAACCCCTTTCCACTTAAGCATCTTTTAATGTATTCCACCCTTTCACTCCTCCTACTTCACTCTTTCCCTCTCATCATACTTTTCTCCTCCTTTTAACCCCTCTACCCTTCTCTCCCACCTACACCCCATCACCCCTCTCCTTCTCTTACCTACCTACATCCTCCCACTCGTATCCTTCCGTCCCTTTCTATCCTACGCGATTATAGTTCCCCTCTCTATCCCATACCCTTCCAAGCCTACCACTTTTCTCCCTCCGTCTCACATGTTCCCACTCTCTTCTCCCTCCCTCCTACATCCTCTTAAGCTCCTCTCCATCCCTCCCACATCTTTCCACTCTCGTCTCCCGCCCTCGAATATCCTCTTAAACTCCCCTCCCTCTTTCCCTCCCTCACTCCAACATACTCTCATTCCCATCTCCATCCCTCCCACATCCTTCGACTCTTCTCTCCCTCTCTCCAACATCCTATTAAACTCTCTCCTCTCCTTCCTTCTTACATCCTCTCATGCTCCTCTCCATCCATCCAACATCCTTCCACTCTTCTCTCCCTCTTTCCAACATCCTCTTAAACTCCCTTCCTTCCCCCCCCCCCTCCCTCCTCCCTCCCTCCCTCGCCATAACATAATGACCCGCTTGACAGTCAGCGACCCCTGGATAACTCGTTCCGTGGGTTCATTGACAGTCACGTCTGACTCCTGGTATCTGAGCACAGAATGGCGGGTTGTTGTACAGTCACCAGCCTCCACCACGCAGGTCTTGGGTCCCACCGGTTAGTGGCGGATACAGCAGAGAGAGAGAGAGAGAGAGAGAGAGAGAGAGAACATAAGAATGGAGGAAACTGCAGCGGGCCTATTGGCCCATACTGGGCAGTCCCATTTGCACCCAACCCCTATTGCTCATATAAGCATCCAACCTATGTTTGAAGCTATCCAGCGTATTCGAGTTAATGATGATATTTGGTAACTTGTTCCATTCATCCACTACTCTGTTTCCAAACCAGTGTTGACCTATTTCGCGCCTAAATCTAAATTTGTCTAATTTAAAACCATTGTTACAAGTTCGCTCCTGGTTGGATAGTTTGAGTACCTTTGTAATGCCCCCTTTGTTTAGCCCTGCCTTCCATTTATACACCTCTATCCTGTCGCCCCTCGCTCTACGTCTCTCGAGGAAGTGCAAATTAAGATGCTTTAACCTGTCTCTGTACTCAAGGTTCCTAATGCCCGTGATTAGTCTTGTCATTCTCCTCTGGATTCTTTCCAAGGATTCTATATCCATTCTGTAATACGGTGACCAGAACTGAACTGAATAGTAATCCAGGTGAGGTCTCACAAACGCAAGATATAATCTTAAGATGATCTCGCTAGTCTTGTAACTAACACTCCTTTGTATGAACCCAAGTACTTTATTAGCCTTGTTACGAGCAAAACAAATTGTTTACTTGGCTTAAGATTCCTGCTCATCATTACTCCTAAATCTCTCTCGCAGTCTGATTTCACAATGGCATCGTTGTTCATCTGGTATCTGGTTTCCCTGTTTACATCTCCTATACTAAGTACTTGATGTTAGACTGATTGGACGGTAGTTAGAGGATAGTGATCTATCCCCCTTCTTGAAAATCGGAATTACATTAGCTATCCTCCAGGATTCTGGTACTACACCTGTTTTTAAGGACATGTTAAACAACTTTGCTAAGGGCATACTAAGCTCTTCCTTACATTCCTTTAACACTCTGGCAAATATCTCATCGGGACCAGGTGACTTAATAGGCTTTAGTTTGTCTATTTGCTTACTAACATCGTTACTAGTCACTACTATCTTGCTTAATTTGTTTTCTTCACTATCTATGAATAGAGTCTGTGCCTCGGGTATCATGTTTAAATTTTCGGTGGTGAAAACTGTTGAAAAATATTTATTCAGATTATTGCTCATTTCTCCGTCTTTATCAGTTAGCTTGCCAGTATCTGACTGTATTGGCCCAATCTTTTCTCGTGTTTTGGTTTGATACATTTGATAGAATCCCTTGGGGTTTGTCTTGCCCTCCCTTGCTATCCTCAGCTCATTATTCCTCTTTGCTTTCCTTATCTCGGTCTTAACCCTACCGGCCAATACCTTATAATAATCCTGGAGGTAAATTTTGCCAAGATTTATCCTCCTGCCTATAGTCTTTCTTTGATGAATAATGTTCTTTAAATAGTTATTTATCCATTTAGGGTCATTGTTGTTTGATCTGAGTTTTTTGTATGGTATGTTCTGCCTTTGTGCATTAAGTAACTCATTATTTAAATTGTCGTGGAACTCGGCAACCGTCAGGTCCATGTAGTTCACCACCAAGCGTGATGCCCCTTCTCTCAACTGCCTCTTCAAACTATGAAAGTTTGCCCTTCTGAAATCTGGGACTTTGGTGGAATTTTCCTTACGGCTGCTCTGAAAATCTAACTGGAATCTGATTTCTTTGTGATCGCTGTTTGCAAGTTCGTTCCCTACCTCGACATGACTAATGAGGTTTTCTCTGTTCGACAGAACTAAATCGAGCATATTATTACCCCGGGTGGGTTCGGTTATATGTTGACTTAGGAAACAGTCCTGGATCGTTTCAAGAAAATCCTCTGATTCTGAGTTACCTGTAAGGTCAATCCAATCTATTTGGCCAAGGTTAAAGTCGCTTACCATACAGACTTTGTTGTGTATGGAAGCCCTGCGTATTTTATCCCAGATAAGTCGTTCATTAACTCTATCAAAATTGGGAGGTCTATATATTACTCTTGGGATTAATTTATCCTTACCGTCGATTAATTCTATCCAAATTGTTTCTGTATTCCGCTCAGTTTTTATTTTCTTATTTATTTCACACTTCACATTATCCCTGACATACATTGCTACTCCGCCTCCTTTCCTGGTCTGCCTATCGGTATGGAATAATTTGTAACCTGCAATTTGGTATTCGACAGGTAACTCACGTGAGTCTAGGTTGATCCATGTTTCAGTGAATGCTACTATATCGATTTTTTCGGTACATACCAAGGCCCTAATATCATCCATTTTGTTTCTCATACTTCTACTGTTTGCATAATAGACATTTAAGTTAGTCGTGTTCTGAGTCCTCCCCTTGCCGCGTTTAGGTTATAACTCGCTGTCTAATTTAGTTTTGTCATCATTCCTAACACTATTTCCCTGTAACCTTTCACCTTGTTTATCCGCTCCCACTGCAGTCTCCTCCACCCCCGTGCTCACATGTTCCCCTAGCAGTTTAAAGACTTCGACATCTTTTGGACTGCCCTTTCGAGAGTTCCAGCCAGGGTTGCTACTCCATCCCTAGACAGATGCACCCCATCCCTAGCATAAAGATCCCTTCTGCCGTAGAAGTTGTCCCAGTTGTCAATGAATGGGACTGATATTGACTTGCAATATCTGTCAAGACGGCCGTTGACACCAACTGCCCTTGACAACCATTCATTGCCAACTCTCCTTCTAGGCAGGACACCACATATGATAGGGATCCCTCCCTTAGACCTAACACGTTCTATAGCTGTCTTGAACTTATCAAGAAGCTCCTCACTCCTACACCGGTCAATATCATTGCCTCCTGCAATGAGGCAGATAATGGGTTTGTTCCCATTACCAGACAAGATATTGTCCAACCTGTTAACTATATCCCCCACCCCAGCTCCTGGCAAACACACCCTCATCCTATTTTTATCTTTACAGCAAAAAGCTCTGTCCATGTACCGTACCTGTGAGTCGCCAACAATCAAGATTTTCTTACCTTCCTTGTCAGAGAGAGAGAGAGAGACTATCCATAACTGTGTTGGAGGCACTAAGGTATATTGCTTTGCCATCCACCAACGCATCCTACACAGGATAACTGAAATGCCTGTTGGGAGCATCGAGCACCTCATGACGCTCAGAATCCCACTGTATCACTCATGTCATGACTTCTTCATCAGGGCATGCGCCCCAACACTGGATGCAGAGGATGACAGCAAGGAGGCCTTTTATGCCGACCTTGACAGAGTGCTAACCTCTATCCCCAAAGAAGATAAGGTTTTACTCGTTGGTGACTTCAATGCCAGAATTGGCAGAAATGATGACATCTGGCAAGGAATCATTGGGAAAAATGGACTAGGCAAGTGTAATCCCAATGGCGTACTTCTCCTCAGCAAGTGTGCTGCACACAACCTCACTATCACCAATACCTTGTTTAGGCAGGCCGACAAGTTCAATGGTTCGTGGAAACCCCTACGATCCAAACACTGGCATCTCATTGACCACATCATTGTCAGAGAAAGAGATCGACAAGATGTCCTCATCACCCGAGCAATGAGTGTCTTAGACCACTGTGACACTGATCATCGGCTCGTCAGAGCCAAACTCTCACTTTACGTTGCCCCAAAACGGCAAAGGCAATAAGCCTCCAGAAGAGGTTTTATCACTATCCGTTTGGAGGATCCAGAGGTAGCACATGCTTTCAGAGAGCAGCTCGAATATGGGCTGATAAATAACCTAAAAACAAACAACCCAAATCCCAGAGCCGAATTGGTTATTCTCGACAGAGTTATGACAAAAACCTGCAGAGAGACCCTCGGCTAGATCGAAAGAATACACCAGGACTGGTTTTATAAGAAATGACCCTGAAAGCAATGTACTCGTCGATAATAAACATGCTGCTTTAACTGACTGGCAGAACAACCCTCAGTCTCGGACCAAAGCTGATACCTGTCGCAAAAAGAAAGCGGAGGCCCAGTGCAAACTTTGCAAACGAAAGAACGACTGGTTTAAAAATGAAGCATATGAAACACAAAAACTTGGAGAACAGCACAAGGTGCGCGAATTTTTCAATTCCACTAAAACATATCATGGGCCAATCACTTTGGCGCAGCCCCCTTCTACTCATCCGACGGTAACTCCCTAATTAAGGATTAAGGCTGTGCTGGAAAGAGCACTACCATTCGCTGCTCAACCGAAACACCTATGTGAATGTCCTGACTGCCCAGCAGGTCCGTTAGCATCCACATCTGACCCATCTCAGCTATCCTCCATCCCTGGATGAGGTAGCTACTGCCATCAAACAGATGAAAATAACAAAGCCTCAGGGCCTGATCGAATTCCAGCCGAGGTGTATAAAGCAGGAGGACCTCGACTTACTAACCGTCTCCACTCTCTCCTGGAGAATATATGGGAAAAGGAGGAAATCCCCCAAGACCTTTAAGACGCCTCCATCGTCAATATTTAAAGGAACAAGGGAGACTGGCCAGACTGTTGCAACTACAACAGGATCTCGCTGCTGTCCATAGCTGGCAAGGTTATCGCCCGAGACCTCCTAAACAGACTTCTCCCTGAGGTGGAAAACTTCCTCCCAGAATCTCAATGTGGCACCACTGACATGATCTTTGCTGCCTGCCAGATACAGGGAAACTGTAGAGAACAGCGTCGTGACCTGTACATGGCCTTCATCGACCTAACCAAGGCCTTCGACTCGGTCATCAAGGAAGCCCTCTGGCGGACCCTCAGTCGTTTTGGCTGCCCACCAAAATTCATCGTCATTGTGAGGCAACTCCACGATGGCATGAACGGCAGTGTCTATGTTCTTCCCCATCCAAACGAGGTGAAAGAAGGCTGTGTACTGGCGCCAATTCTCTTTTCCATTTTCTTGGCTGCCTTCCTGACTCGTGCCAGTGCCAATTTAGCCGGCGGGGTGGACATCGACTCCAGGCAGGAAAAAAGGTATCGACAGTTTCCATTATTGAACTTCAATATGCAGACGACCTCACCCTTGTCGCTCACACTGAACGCGACCTACTGTACAGGAGATCCTTAACACCTACGCAGATGTATATGCACACTTCGGCCTTGAGATGAATGCACGTACCCTCTCTAATGTTACCCACATTCAGTATCTCGGCTCCCACCGTCCACCACCTCGAACATCGATGAAGAGATTCAACATCGGATCAGATGCGCATCTCAAGCCTTTGGCCGACTCCGTACCCGTGTCTTCAGCTGTAGGGAGCTGAAAATGTATACAAAGTTGCACATTTATCGAGCAGTGGTCCTCCCCACTCTCCTATATAGCAGCGAGACGTGAGTCACATACAGGAGGCACCTTAAGGCACTTGAAAACTTTAACCAACGTAATCTATGTTCCATCCTCCGAGTTCGCTGAGAAGACAAGAGAACAAATGCCAGTATTCTCGCTGACACCAATTGTGGGAGCATCGAATGTTACCATTATTCATGAACAACTATACGTGGGACTGGCCATGTTATCCGCATGGACAGCAGTAGACTGCCAAGGCAGCTAATTTGCAATCATCTAGCGAATAGTAAACGTAACGCTGGCGGGCAACTGAAAAGTTATAAGGATAGTCTTAAGACAAACCTAAAAAAAGTGCCAAGTGGACCCTCTCACCTGGGAGACGATTACTCCACACTGCAACGCTTGGAGAAGAACCACACGAGAAGGTGTCAATACTTTTAAGTTTGCCCGACTGCATAACGAGGCAGACAATCGCCAACGCCGGAAAGATACTGCCGCCGCCCCTCCCGCACTAGATGTAGCCCTCCACACGTGCAACATCTGTGATCGACCCTGCCGTCCCCTTATCAGCCTCTTTAGTCACCCCAGAATTCACCAACGAAGGTGACATCCTCAATAACTCATATCATTGTATCATACCTGAATGATCGTCATACTCGATTCCGAATGACAGCAAAGTATTATGTACAGGTTTATGTATGTATGTATGTATGTATGTATGTATGTATGTACCGCACTGCTATTCCTAAATTATTGTTCTCCGGTCTTAATCAACACTGAGTTCTGTTACACCTTTGACTACTGCTCGAGTCATTGTTTCTACTTTGTATTCAGTCACCTGTTTGATTACACGCACTGGAATATTAACGCTTTATCAGCCGTTACCTTAACCTAATCCCATCCTCACCCTGACACACCCTCTCTCCCCTTCATCCTGATCTACTCTATCCCCTTCCCCCATACCTAGCCTTCCCTCACCTACCCTTCCCCCATACCTAGCCTTCCCTCACCTACCCTTCCCCCATACCTAGCCTTCCCTCACCTACCCTTCCCCCATACCTAGCCCTTCCCCCATACCTAGCCTTCCCTCACCTACCCTTCCCCCATACCTAGCCTTCCCTCACCTACCCTTCCCCCTGACCTAGCCTTCCTCCACCTACCCTTCCCCCTGACCTACCCTCCACTCCCCCCACCCAGGTACTGACCATGGTGCAGGCTGTCAGCATCAGGGAGCAGGTCATCCATGGCGGTTCTGGCAGCCGTCTCTAACTCACACAGGATCCTTACTGTGCAGGGAAGATCCTCCACCAGGTCCTGAAGGATATCGAGGATCTTGTTTAGTTCTCTCTTGTTGGTTAGGTTAGGTTAGGTTAGGTTAGGTTAGGTTAGGTTATAACATCTCACTACTGGTTACGTTAGATTTGGGTTGGACACAATTTCTTACGCTAGATAAGATCAGTTTATGCCAGTAAAGGTTAAGTTAGCTTAAAGTAGGTTAGGGTATTTACAGTCAGCCCGACGTGTGATCAAACCCTTTCCACACACAAAACCCAAAATAACGTGGAACAAATTAGGGTCACACCTATGTTAAAAATAAGGAACCGATCTGTGTGAGTTGGCGCCTCCCTCGAGTGCAATTTCGTTAATACTGATGTTAGTGATTTACGCTTGTTGTTATTAAGGTTACGACTGTAAGGTACTCTCTCTCTCTCTCTCTCTCTCTCTCTCTCTCTCTCTCTCTCTCTCTCTCTCTCTCTTTTCTATCTCTCTCTCTCTCTCTCTTTCACTACTCATCGATTCTAATGCCGTCAAAATTAAATGTTTCCATCAACGTTCTAAATCAACAAACGTTTGACATTATCTTTTGTTATAAAATATCTGATTAAGAACGTTGATGTCAGGTAACATACCATTTGCCTTATTGCCATTTACACCTGTGAGGGCAATAAACTGAAGTGCAGTGTTGGTGGTATGAAATGTTTGTGTAAGGGTAATGGTTAGAGACAGAGAGCTGAAGCGAGGATGAAGAAGAATGAAGAAGAATGAAGAATAAAGAAGAATGAAGAAGAATGAAGAATAAAGAAGAATGAAGAAGAATGAAGAATGAAGAAACGAGGATGAAGAAGAATGAAGAAGAATGAAGAAGCGAGGATGAAGAAGAATGAAGAAGAATGAAGAAGCGAGGATGAAGAAGAATGAAGAAGAATGAAGAATAAATAAGAATGAAGAAGAATGAAGAATAAAGAAGAATGAAGAAGAATGAAGAATGAAGAAGCGAGGATGAAGCAGAATGAAGAAGAATGAAGAAGAATGAAGAAGCGAGGATGAAGAAGAATGAAGACGAATGAAGAATAAAGAAGAATGAAGACGAATAAAGAAGAATGAAGAATCAAGAAGAGAGGATGAAGAAGAATGAAGAAGAATGAAGAATAAAGAAGAATGAAGAAGAATGAAGAATGAAGAAGCGAGGATGAAGCAGAATGAAGAAGAATGAAGAAGCGAGGATGAAGCAGAATGAAGAAGAATGAAGAAGAATGAAGAATAAAGAAGAATGAAGAAGAATGAAGAATGAAGAAGAATGAAGAATGAAGAAACGAGGATGAAGCAGAATGAAGAAGAATGAAGAAGCGAGGATGAAGAAGAATGAAGACGAATGAAGAAGAATGAAGAATAAAGAAGAATGAAGAATGAAGAAGCGAGGATGAAGCAGAATGAAGAAGAATGAAGAATAAAGAAGAATGAAGAAGAATGAAGAAGCGAGGATGAAGCAGAATGAAGAAGAATGAAGAAGAATGAAGAATGAAGGAAGACGAAAAAACAAATAAGAATGTGGAAGGTCATAATCTACAAAGGATTAATTATTACAAAGACTACGAATGTATGCTAATTAAGGTTAGACTAGGTCAAGTTAGGTCAAGTTAGGTTAGTGTTTGGGGGGAATTTAACTGGGGTGCTTAATATTCACGTGATCCATGAATGGTTTTTAACAGAGTAACTGCCGTGACCAGTATGGCTGAGGGAACTGTGTGGTTGTAGCCGAGAGACACAACTAATGATGGAATAACATCTAGGATAATTATAAAATAGAGAGGATAAAGAATACATAGAAGAGAACAGATTACATCACCATTCCTATATGTTTAATGAAAAATATTACTTTCGGTCCATTTAGATATATGTAAAGTAAGAAATTATTACGTTAAATATGCATAATATAATATTCAGAGGGAAAATGTTATATCACATCTGATTAAATAAATGTACAGTGAAATTCCAATAAATTTAGTAAAGAGAAGCATTATTATTGTTTTGGTTTTGTTTTTATAAATGTTTGGATTATAACAAAGATCTGAATACTGTATATATATTCTTGTTACTGTGGCTTGAGTTATAACCCATAAAATGAAGAAATATACTGTACACGCGTATCCAATTTGTCTTTGTTTTGTGTTTTGTTCATGGAAAAAAAAAAAAAGAATACATACGGGTTGATTCGTTTTTTATGTGTGTTCGTTTTCCCTGGTCCAACAAATAGAACCCCAAAGCTATCATGGTTATTGTCGGTTATATAATTACTTCCATTAACAGATTAAGCAATACGTCTATTGTGAAAAAAAAACGGGAGGTTTGTTTATAAATGTATTTCATGGTGTTTGTGTGCGCGCTTCTGTGTTTACAATTCCACAATAGAACAAGGCACTGTTCAAACACGCTGGTTGGCTCAAACTTCATACACTATATCAAGAATAAAAACTATATCAAGACACTAATTGAAGATCAACACATTCATCTTATTGACATAAATAAACGTTTGGTTACAGGAGGGAGAGACTAAGAGGTGAGGTATGATAACGGCAGAGGGGTGGAAGGACTCCCTGCCTTGTCTTCAGGGGCGCTGAAGTGGGTGAAAATGGTGACATGTTGTAAACTATGACGCCACAAAACACTGCTGATACCTTACCTCCTGATCCACATAGGTCGCGTCCCTCCTGCTGCGTCGCCCGGAGAATAACTTGTTAAGGTCTATGGGCAGCCTCCCTGTGGCGCCTATGACGAAGATCTTTAGCAACACCAGCAGGGCCAACAAGGCACCGTTCTGGTTCAGGGCGATGGAATTGTCAGGCAGTGAAACAAAGGTGTAGGTGACGAGGGAACACACCAGGGGAAGAATCGCCGTCAGCGTCACCACCGGGAGCATCGGGAACGTGGCAGGGAGACGCCACCGCTGTTTCCATTGTGAGATAAGGAGCCGTGTGAGGTGCATTTTGCTGGGAACACAGTTCCTACAAGTTAATTTCCGTATTTTTCTCTGTATGTAAATGGAGACTGGGCCTGTTAAGTGAACAGTCTCCTGTGGGGTTGTTCCTAAACGAATGTTTGAAAAATAATTTTGTTTTCAGACTCATTTAATGGAGATATTTTTTAACAAAACTGACGGATAGAGTCAAAATCCCCAACAAATTTAGCATTACTTAAGGGATGAACCTTAAATATCGCCAGTTTTAGGGATGAGGTCAATTTCAACTCTAACAAGAACTTTGCCCCGAAACTTTCAAGACTTTAAACCTCCCGTGAGTCTCTTGAATATAAAGAGCACAACCAGCCACTCCCACCCCGTGACCGTCACTCACCTCACCAGCTCGTCCCCAGGCGTTTTATATCCGTCTCTCAAGTCATTACTGTTCCCTTATCTCTCCTTCCGTTCCACTTAACTCACCATCAGAAAGTCATTGAGGCCAGCGGGTCTCGTTTTGACTCACCCTTTGTTATGTCCTTAATCTTGGTGACCATCTTGGCTAATATCTTGGTGAACATTGAGCTGACTGGTGACTACTATCTTATACTAGAGCCATCATGGACACATGGACTTCGGTCATTATAGTCAAGAACAATAGGATTTAATCTCCATGTCCAAGTACTTCTAATTAATCTGATACTCTATAGGCGACTTGAGCTTCCTTCCCCTCCTCCTCGTTCCTTGACATCTAGAGACCAGGTTTCAAAACTTTCTGCAGATATATTGTACAGTATGACAAAACCTAACTACGACGTCCACACACACACACACACACAGTTGGGTCAGTAGGTCAGCGTGAGAGACGAGACTTTAAGTGATGATAGTCTAGCGTGAGAGATATTATCAAGATCTTGGTCACCTGGGCAACGACCTAAAGTATTGTACCTTCTTGTCCAGGTAGAAAATTACGTGTCCACCCACTTACCTGTCTGTACAATGCCTCGATGGGTCATGGTAGTGTGTTGTGATAAATTGGAATAGTTTCACATAGGGTCATGGTTGTGGTGGTGGTTGTGATGATGGTTGTGGTGGTGGGTATGGTGATGGTTGTGGTGGTGGGTATGGCAATGGTTGTGGTGGTGTGTATGGTGATGGTAGTGATTATGGTGGTGGTTATGGTAATGTATGGTGATCATTTATGGTACATGGTAGTGTATGGTATTCCCTGATAGTCTATGGTAGGTAGAAGGTGTTTCAAGAATTAATATGTGCGATAACCTAACCTAACCTAACCTAACCTAACCTAACCTAAATTTTCTTTTATTTACAATAGAAGTATATTGTTTTAATGACGTAAATATTTAATATTAATTAAAAAACATAATATTCACTTACAGAAGATCAGATATAACTGTAACAAAGTCCTTCAAATGTCTAGTTACTGCGTTGCATGGTAAGATGTGTGTACACTGGGCATTATTAAAATAAGATATTAAAATAATAATAATAATAATAATAATAATAATAATAATAATAATAATAATAATAATTAACGGTTTATTGAAAAAGCTCTGCAACCCAAAGGCTGAAAATATACATTGGACATAAATGACTTATTACATACATTGGTGGTTTAACAAAAGCCTTCATTAGAGAAAGGTAAAGGATTTTTTTCTTTAGTTTGTTGTTGATGTGTGTGTGTGTGTGTGTGTGTGTGTGTGTGTGTGTGTGTGTGTGTGTGTGGATATAAGAGAGGCAGGGATTTTCTTTCCTATTTCGCTGAAAGTTAATCACGGAGTCAGTGTTACCACCTTATACCCTACACCTGTGTTACGTCGCCAAATGAAGTTTCACATAAGAAAGACGAACATAAGGAATAAAACATTATGTAAACGTCATTAACTTTGCCAAAGAAAGATTTTGAATAAATGTTAATCACCATCCACATTTTTCCTATGTATCCGTGGGAGTCAGAGGTGGCTGTAAGATAACTTCTGGGCTCTGGTCGTGGGAGTTGGAGGTGACTGTAAGATAACTTCTGGGCTCTGGTCGTGGGAGTTGGAGGTGGACTGTAAGATAACTTCTGGGCTCTGGTCTGGTCGTGGGAGTTGGAGGTGACTGTAAGATAACTGGGCTCTGGTCGTGGGAGTAGGAGGTGGCTGCAAAGATAACTTCTGGCTCTGGTCGTGGGAGTCAGGTGGCTGTAAGATAACTTCTGGGCCTCTGATCGTGGGAGTTGGAGGTGGCTGTAAGATAACTTCTGGGTTCTCTCAGGAGTTGGAGGTGGCTGTAAGATAACCCTGGGCTCTGGTCGTGGGAGTTGGAGGCTGTAAGATAACTTCTGGGCTCTGGTCGTGGGAGTTGGAGGTGGCTGTAAGATGCTTCTGGGCTCTGGTCGTGGGAGTTGGGGTGACTGTAAGATAACTTCTGGGCTCTGGTCGTGGGGAGTTGGGAGGTGGCTGTAAGATAACCCTGGGCTCTGGTCGTGGGAGTTGGAGGTGGCTGTAAGATAACTTCCTGGGCTCTGGTCATTGGGGAGTTGGAGGTGGCTGTAAGATAACTCTTCTGGGCTCTGGTCGGGAGTTGGAGGTGACTGTAAGATAACTGGGCTCTGGTCGGAGTTGGGGTGGCTGTAAGATAACTTCTGGGCTCTGGTCGTGGGAGTTGGAGGTGGCTGTAAGACTAACTGGGCTCTGGTCGTGGGATTGGGAGTTGGAGGTGGCTGTAAGATAACTTCCTGGGCTCTGTCGCTCTGGTCTGGGGAGTTGGAGGTGGCTGTAAGATAACTACTGGGCTCTGGTCTGGAGGTCTGTAAGATAAGTGGTCGGGAGTTGGAGGTGGCTGTAAGATAACTTCTGGGCTCTGGTCGTGGGAGTTGGAGGTGGCTGTAAGATAACTTCTGGGCTCTGGTCGTGGGAGTTAGGTGACTGTAAGATAACTTCTGGGCTCTGGTCGTGGGGAGTTGGAGGTGACTGTAAGATAACTTCTGGGCTCTGGTCGTGGGAGTTGGAGGTGGCTGAGATAACTTCTGGGCTCTGGTCGTGGGAGTTGGAGGTGGCTGCAAGATAACTCTGGGCTCTGGTCGTGGGAGTTGGAGGTGCTGTAAGATAACTTCTGGGCTCTGGTCGTGGGAGTTGGAGGTGGCTGTAAGATAACTTCTGGGCTCTGGTCGTGGGAGTTGGAGGTGACTGTAAGATAACTTCTGGGCTCTGGTCGTGGGAGTTGGAGGTGACTGTAAGAAAACTTCTGGGCTCTGGTCGTGGGAGTTGGAGGTGACTGTAAGATAACTTCTGGGCTCTGGTCGTGGGAGCTGGAGGTGACTGTAAGATAACCTCTAACCTTATTTGACTTGGTGCAAAAATATTACTCATATTATCTTAAGACAAACCTGAAGAAATGACAAATCGATCCCCTCACCAGGGAGAGGATCACTCCACACCGTAATGCTTCGAGGAGTACCACGCGCAAAGGTGTCAATAATTTCGAGTTAGCCTGACTGCATACCGAGACAGACAAGAGCCAGAGCCGGAAAGACGCTGCCGCCGCCCGTCAGGCACTAGATGTAGCCCTCCACACGTGGAAAATGTGTGGACGGCCGTGTCAGACTCGTATCGGCCTCTCGAGTCACCTCAGAGCTCACCAACAAATTCATATCATTAAAACACATTTGGAAGATCGTCATACTCGATTCCAAGTGACAGCAAAGGAGTAGAAGTAAGTTCCTTTCCCTCTTTCTATGAAAGCTTTAGAGAGAGAAAGAGAGATCACGTATGCCAGAACCTCAGTCCCTCGTGGAACAAGCTTAGCAGCTTTGTAGTACGTGCTGCCATCTACAAGCCAACCGGCCTATTGCAGACTCCCTACGTTCTTATGTTCTTCGGAAGCGCTCAATTAGTTCACTGTTTTGATAATAATGATCTTATAACGTTACCCTCTACTGAAGAACAGTATTGGTTGTTTAACTTCATATATCAATATATTGATACATGAAGAGGCAGCTGAGGCGACAGGACTCTTTGGGGGGGGTGTACTGTACCTCTTTACAGCTGAGTTGACTGGGGATGCCTTGGAATCGAACAAGCCACCCTTAGTAGTGCCAATACAAGGACACATCGTGTTACATATATCTATGTATTTACATAACATTAAGATGTATGCTGTATATTCATTTTGTATCAGTAACTGTATGGAAATGTCATCTTCAACTGTCAGCTGGAGGTAGCAAAGGTTTGTCTACATAAATCTGGTCTGTTAACCAAAGCTGTTATTTCAGAACGTGAGCTGATTAATGGGCCTTGGGGTTGATGCACTGCTGGAAGAGGAGTGTTCGGTAATGGACGTGACACTCTACAGTACAGTTGTAAGGGTCTCATTTTTTCATATTTCATATTTATTCTATTTATTCTTCTTTTCTATACTTTATTCCTTCTGTCATATATATTGTATTTTCTGAATTTTATGTCATTTCTCTCAATTATATCCTGCTTGAATTATATTCTATACCATGGATTAGTCTAGAAAAACCATGTCATTCTTACTACAACACTTATTATACTTACCAAGGTAGCCTGCCACCACCCAGACTTTTATTAGAATATAACACAGCTCATTGAACTGTTAGGTGGCGTGCTACCTTGGTTCTAGGCACGTGAGGTACAATAGTTATTTTCTGAGAGTAAACCAGATGTTAATTAAGTACACTCAGACAAGACTGGTCCACTTATGCCTTACTTTACACATAGCATTTTATTTCTTGGTTACAACATTACACACTCATTATATTACTTCATTATCAATACAGAGGATTATATGACTTACTTGACAATATCCCAAAATTAAGATATTATTTAGCACATCATGTTATTTCGGAATGAACAACATGGCATCAAAGGTGACATCCTTAAATGGATTAGGGCGTGGTTACAGGACAGGAAACAGCGAGTGAGCATTAACGGCACTAAGTCCCATTGGAGCAACGTCACAAGTGGAGTTCCCCAAGGCTCAGTACTTGGACCATTATTATTTATTATATACATAAACGACATAGATATCGGCATAGACAGAAACATAAGTAAATTTGCTGATGACACTAAAATAGGACGTGTTATCAAATCTGACGAGGACTCAGCAAAACTACAGGAAGATCTAAACAAATTTTTCGAATGGTCTGAAAAATGGCAGATGAAATTCAACGTCGACAAATGTAAAGTACTCAGTATAGGAGATGTAAACAGGGAAACCAGATACCAGATGAACAATGATGCCATAGAGAAATCCGACTGCGAGAGAGATTTAAGAGTAATGATAAGTAGGAACCTTAAGCCAAGTCAACAATGTGTTTTTGCTCGTAACAAGGCTAATAAAGTACTTGGGTTCAAACAAAGGAGTGTTAGTTACAAGACTAGCGAGGTCATCCTAAAACTGTATCTTGCTCTTGTGAGACCACGCCTGGATTACGCAGTTCAGTTCTGGTCACCGTATTACAAAATAGATATAGAATCCTTGGAAAGAATTCAGAGGAGAATGACAAGACTAATCCCGGGCATTAGGAACCTTGAGTATAGAGACAGGTTAAAGCATCTTAATTTGCACTCCCTTGAGAGACGTAGAGCGAGGGGCGACCTGATAGAGGTGTATAAGTGGAAGGCAGGGCTAAACAAAGGGGAAATTACAAAGGTACTCAAACTATCCAACCAGGAGCGAACTCGTAACAATGGTTTTAAATTAGACAAATTTAGATTTAGGCGTGAAATAGGTAAACACTGGTTTGGAAACAGAGTAGTGGATGAATGGAACAAGTTACCAAATATCATCATTAACTCGAATACGCTGAATTGCTTCAAACATAGGTTGGATGCTCATATGAGCAATAGGGGTTGGGTGTAAATGGGACTGCCCAGTATGGGCCAATAGGCCCGCTGCCGTTTCCTCCATTCTTATGTTCTTATGTTTATGTTAACTAGAGCTCAGTTGGTACTACACATGATTGGTGGACTCATCCCCTATAACAACGGTACCACCGGTAACACCAACATTTATGGGTTCAATACTCAACATTGGATAACTAGATTTCTGCTAATTATCCCCAATCATGGATACCAATACTGCTCAATACATATAACTAAGATCAATGAACCAGACAAGACTGAGTCCACTGGTCGCTGGGGTTGTTTACTACACAAACAGCCGAAGCTCGTTTGCTAGTAGCGCCTCGAGTAGACTCTGTGCAGTGTCTTCCCACGGTGCTCCTGTCCTCATATTCTAATCTCGCCATATTAAAGACATCCTTCAAGGACCATCTTGCCCATAGGCGGCTACCGAACCTCGGTAGTGGTGACAACACAGACAGTGCCTGGAGATGCGTTGAGGAATAATCACGAGCGTGTGAATGTCTAACTCAACTACACATAACTATACGTCTGGCAACAATTGATGCTACTTACTTTACTTTAATTATACTTGGCACATGATTATTTCACTATGTTAAAACATGAACACTGATATTCACAAAATCGACTGAGTTAAACTGACTTAACATGACGGCGGGAAACAATTGCTCACATACCTGGAAATGAGTTGAGGAAGAGTCACGAGCGTGTGAGTCTTCCTCTTGCATTCGTTTATATTCGAGCCTCGGGCAGTTCCGGCCTATGCATGCATACCAGAAAGACTAATCTCACCAACGACAGAAATTCTATTCAACTCAGTCGCTGTACATTCAACTATGAAAATCAGTGTCATGGGTCAGGTGAATTTCTTATGTCTATTTTTATAATCTAATCAGAGATTGAGTGTGTCAGGAAAAGTGAAATGGACATTAAATACACACACTAACAACTGTACTTTCCCGGAAACCGCAAATCACAACCAAGGAACTCTTACTGGGGAGCCGTTAGGTCTTGGAGATTTTGAGTTTGACAGAATCTTTTCAGGAGATTAATGACTTCTTAAATAGACAACTGACACTAACTAAACTACAAACATCAAAATAATCTAACTTCAGTAGCACTTGGAATCTCATGGTTATCCCCAAGGACGGTATAAGGATATGCCACTCGTACTGAGACTTGACACTCACTTACTTGACAAGCTTTACTAACAATAAAGACAGTTGATGCATTCAATATCACTCACAAGGGATCTTGAATGTTCCATGTGTGATCAGATATATCTACAGTTGCAATTTCAAATTTTGTGTCGTTATACGAAGGAATAACGAAGTCTCGGGTGCATTCTAAGATTGACAGAAAACGAAGAACTCAGACATCCTGAAGTGATGAGAAAACGAACGCCTCAGATGGAGGACTCAATAAAGAAGGCATAGCTACATGTTTTGTGGGCAATTGAGTGTAATATGAATCGTCTGATTTTACGTTGACTAACATGCACGACCGTGATCATTACACAGTAAATATATTAAATTGTACACCGGTTTAAGCACCTTATTCTCTGCATAGCAGGCACTTTATGTTTTGCTGGGACTGCTAAGGGTCAGTGGCTCTCAACTGGCTCAGCCTTGTTTATATTGTTATTATTATCGATTCTGTATCAGTGCTTTTTTTGGCTAAATAAACTGTTTCAATTAAACAATCAAATACTATGATTGAGCCTGAGGCCTACTGGTGCGACGGGGTGCGGATGTACAGACCGAATCCAAGACTCAGCTTCAAAGCTTGAGCTTGGCCGCGGATTCGCTGAGTGTGAACGCACCCCAATGTTTGGATTTCAAAAGTCAGGATTCACAGGAATCCCATCAAGGAAAACTCCCTTGGATCCCAGCTGGCATAAGCCCGGTGGTAATTCATCTTGTATGTATCAGTCCGAAGTATATTGTTCTCACTGAAAAGGTGAATACCAAAGTGTCCTGCGTTGTAAAGATTGTTAACAGGTATATTATTAGTTAGTGACGAGAGGTAAGGTTGTGTCATGGAGTCCTGTTAAGTGTGTGCCCAGAGTAAATTGTACATAAATATAAGCTTTGTGATCGATTTTTGTTGAGTGTTATAAAGTATTAGTACTAGTGGTAGTGAAATGAAGTGGTGAAGATTCATTATTTTCGTGTGTCACTCGTAGAATGTTACAGTAAGTTATACAGTAGTATTTTCTAATGAACATTGCTTCTGTTAAATTTAAAGATTTGTTTTTGCTAAGCTGGAAGTAGGACCAAGTGTTAACGTAAATTTGGCCAAGTCTTGAGTAATCCCCAAGGAATGGTTCATGTGTTTGTGTTCTATTAATGTGTTCCTTAACTCGACTTCATTACAATAAATAATCTTATTGTGTGTTGTGATATCATTACCACTGCAGTATCCACCTTTCATTCTCCCTCATAATTTGTGCCACTGAATACATTAGACCCACGAGCCTAGCCCTTTCATTCCTTCTAATATAATCTAATTATCAAAGTATATACGTGTACTGTACGTAAAATTCCCACTTGTTGACCTCTCTGCCAGCTACCAAAGTTAATTCAGATGTTTTACTGCTGAAGCTATATGTTAAATGTTGTGTGAGGCTCTCATCTGGGTGGTGGCAGCTAGAATTGTGAACAGGGCATTTAAACAGCATTTGAAATCAAAATTGGTGGAAGAAATGAAATCAAAGCCATATTCTTTACTAATTGTGTTGATCAAACGACACAGGACTGCTGAAAATTATCCCACTAAGGCTACACATTTTCACGCATGATGGAGTGTGTACTCAGCCGCTTGACATGCGCATGACCAAAGGATCTACAGGTGAAAATAAAATAAAATAAAATAAAGCCTAAATAATACAGATGTAATCTTTGAAAGTCTTTAATACTAAAAGTGTACAATGAAAATACAGTACTATATATGTACTGAAAATACAGTACCCTGTATTGTGCATGTACTGAGGTCTTTCTATACCTTGCCAAACACATGCATATTCTCTTTTTTTTTTCAAATAAAGGTGAAAGCAAGTAATGCAACTTTAATAATGAAAGCAAATATATTTTCTGTAATATATTTCTGATATATTGTTTGCATGTCAAAGAATCAATATACAGGAATTTATGAAAACTCAGTTCTCAGCCTAAATATTTAAGTGTCCAGCAGGGGTGGTTCATGTGTGTTGTCCCAGACCTAACA